AAATGCATTACATTTACTGCACTACTTATTTCAATTCGATTTTATTACTCAACGTTAAAAGTGCGAAGTGTTATTAGGTCATCGAGGGAAATTATTATCTGCTTGGACATTCAATTAAATATTCTCGTGTATGGTCAATRAACTYTAAGTTCATTGATGGTCCACGAGCTAGAAAAGTGAACGCGAAATGTAAATTAATTTTTTCAATAATTGAGAATTAGTATTGTAACAAAATACGAGTTCATTTGTAACATTAGTATGAAAGATCTTATCTTCCTCGCACGTAGGAAATGTCCAAATGCAGTTTTCATGGAATGAAGAAAGAAGAGGCTTAATGCCGAAGAGGCCCCCACTTAATTGTGGCTCAAGAGGGCAACTACTGAGGCTATTGAGTTATTTTCAAAGGTTCAACAGCAAGTTCGAACCTTTAGAGAATGGCTCTCTAGTCATATTTTATATTTTATCGTTTACTTGTTAGCTCGTCATTAATTTTTAGTTGTAAGTGGAGATGATGGATCATTCCATCTCCTTGGGACACCAAACTTGTGTCTATATCGTCAAAAAGATGCACATGTGTTTATTTAGAGTCAAAAAATTTAAATTTCCTTTTTATTACATTTTGAAGCTTAAATAACGTTCAGCAAATATTAAAGTAATCTCTCTTTTCTTTTTTTCTTTTTTTTGCCTTTAAGATTTTTAACTGTGATCGTATTTTATTTAATTTGTAATTTTTTCTTCTATATATAATACAGTTTTAAATTATTAGTCTTAATAATTAATCGATATTATTTTCTCTGGTAACTTAATATTTGTACTTTTACTTTTTTATTTTTTTTTATTTTTTCTAAATGTAAAATAACTTCTTTTATATTTAACTTCATTGCTATGGTAGATAGATATTTGATAAAAATAAATATAGAATATAATTAAAAAGTGCATCTACGAATTGGACGATTCATATGTTAGGCTACTTCATATCACTTGATTGTATTATTAATATAGTTTTCTTTTTGTTGCAGGTGATCTTCGTTGGAGTTAACATCAAACCTTTTTTATTATTCTCCACTTTATATATTTCTATAAATGCATTTCTGAAGGCACACATATAAACACTATATATGAAATATATATATTTAAAAGTCCATAATAATTATAATATTGATTATTTTCACAGGCTTACAAAAGATTTTCAATATGTTTTTTAACAAAATGTTTAATTTATTAACATATTTTTTTTTCAGATTTAACAAAATCAGAGCGGGGACGATCGTTATTTTTCCTTGTAAGTTTGTTTGAGTAGCATTTAGGCGTGCGTTACTCAAGTATCAAATGCATATCCAATAACAGCGACTCGTATTATATATGTATATATATAATTACTTTTCCATTCAATTAACAATCGAGTATCGTGTTTTCGATGAATATGTTATCATTTGTGATTAGCCGTAAGCACATAATGCACCTAGGTGATAATAATTTCCTCGTGCTGTGAACAAAGAAAAAAACATTAACGTTAGAAATTCATCTCGTTGAATTTATAATTTTAATATAAAATTTAATTATAATATAGATCGTAATTAGATTATTAAAAAGAAATAGAAATTTATTTTTAATATTACCGTTCATTTAATAAATGAAAAACATGACTGTTTCTCTAATCTTTTACGAGAGGATTTTAACGTTTTATACTACCATACTGTATATTGATTAATTAACCTAATTAGATCTTTTTATAATGAGTTGGTTACATGTACTTACAACAGAGACCAGAATATCGATTAGAATAAATCATTCCGTAATTACTACATGCAGGTTGTCCCGATTGATAGGGCTGGTAACCAATGATGTTCCCGCTAGAAAATGAAAGTAAGGATACTTAATTATTCAATGATTAAAATAATGATTGTTTTAACAAATTGATTATTCTCTTGTTACTCTGAATCATTAAGACTATTGTAAATTATATTTTTCTTTTTTTCTTTTTGTATTTTATTCGAAAATAATATTTCTATAAAAAGTAAGAAACAAAATATGTTTTTGATTTTTTTTTTAACATCGTTAAATATTTTTAAACGATTTTAGAAACGGGATAAATTTGAAATAGAGTTTAACGATAACGAGTTCAATGAAACACGATAATTTTATTGATAATTATTGATATATTAATTAATCCTCTCCCATTTATCTACTTTAACGTGTTATAAATTTATATTGTGAGCTTTTAATCTTGCTACTCACCTCGGTCCATAATTGCAAACGTAGTTTTTAGTGTATCCTTTAGCTGGATCATAATAGAATGAATATCCACAGCCTATGAGAAAAGTATCGCTCCAAACCAACTGCCCAAAATTAATAAACGTAAAATTAAATAAAATGAAATATTATAAAGTATATAAAAATAAATAAACATTTAAAAATTCAAAAATAAACTAACGTAAAACGATAATAACAGGACATCTAACTGATAAATTAAAATAAAAACATATGTAAATAAAAATAGTTAGATGCTTATAAATGATTTATAAACAGAAAACTTAGTCATTCGCGTTTAGGTCAACATCGATGTAACATCTCTAAGCTTTCTCTTTCATTTTAATCGAAATAGAAGATAGATCGTTGAAGTTTCAAATCTTTGATACGTAAAATTGAATCTTAATAGTTTGGAATATTAGTTAGGCTAACGTGATATATATATATATATATATATATATATATATATGTATATGTATATATTGATGAGAGAGTTTCGACAAGTACTTATTCGAGAGTTAGACTGTCCAATTTCGTAATAACCTGCGTATAGTGTCCAGTAGTCTTACTGTATCCAGTGTGGTAGTGTTGTACCTCGTTGAACCATCCCGAAATTTGTCGTCTCCAATTGGGTTCGCTATCGTAAGGTCCCGGGGGTCTCGTAGTCCAAGTTCGTGCTATGTTCTGACCCACCGCGAATCTGCCTGAGAAATCAATCATCGTCGTCTAATCGATCGATCGAAATGCCATTAAGGTTCTCGACACTGAACCATACGTATGTGTAATGTGTATACTATTGGTTAATAACATAAGCTGCTCGTCTAACGTTTAATCGTATTTATCTTCGAAGAGTATTACATCATCTAACATATATTTTATTTTATTATTAGATAGTTACGAAAGTTTATACTGTTTTCATTTTATTCTGTTTTTTCTTTCTTTTTTTTCTTTTAAATTGATGTCGTTTTTTTACTTACGAACGTTTCTATAATTATCGTGTACTTCTGCACAATTATCTGCCCATTTTTGTGCCACGTCTGCCAACTCGTCGTCCCATAACTAAAAGAAGAAGAAAAATAAAAATAAAAACTTACTATGTTATTTATTTACCATTAAAAACTCAGATCGATTTTCTTAAAGTTTTGATTAAAAACAGTATAACGCAGATAGAGTATAGCATTTAAGTATATAGTTAGTGCAAACTATAATATTAATGGTAAGCAAATTGTTTAAAAATTAAATTTTTCATGTATCGCATAATTTCAAAGTTATGTAAATTATTTATCTCCCACATGTATACACGTTACATATACTACATGGATGTATATAGATTATTCTATTTCACGTTTACACCTACTTACATACCATTTCCATCATATTAGCCGCCCCAGGTTGGCCGTGAATTTGTCCCAGTGCCACCAGTTGCCTCAAACGATTATGTTCGTCCAATATAATTTGTTTTTCTTCGCATGATATTCTACCGGAACCTAAAATCAAATTTTCAGAAAAAAAGAGGGGAGAAAAAGTAAGAAGGGAGAAACACAGATTAGATTTTCACACAGGTTATTTGAGGGTAGTTTTGCAGTAAGTAGCGCATTAACATTCGGTGTAAACACCCTTAACAAGGCACACGAACGAACGTTAAAGTGAACCAGGGGTACTTTGACAGCGGCTTAACCGCACCAACCACCACTGTAAACTTTACTCCTTCCTTTCCTTTCCTGTTTCTCTTTCATCTTCGTTTCTCTTTCTTTCTCTATCTTTCTCTTTGTCGAGTGATACCCAGTAACAAGGATTGGAGGATTAAGGGTTTTAAAACTTGTCCATTTACTTGAACCCACCCACATGGCAAGAACATACAAGCCTGTTATTCTACTTTGTCCTTTTCCTCGTTAAAATCATTATTTTCTATTTCATTTTCCTTTGACTTTTTCTTTTTATTATAGATAAAAATTAAAAAGTAATTCTTAGATTTTATCTTATTACAAAAGTTCTACATTCATAAAATAATTAAATGTATTTTAATATTATATTGATGTACATTCTTTAGCAATTTTTTTATTCGAGTTTGTAAAGAGATTGTACGATAGTGTAATATTATTTAATTACACTTTTGCCTTTGGTACTATCTCGAAATATTCATCTCTTTCTTTCTTTCTCTTTCTATATATATTTTTATTCCTTTCTCTAGTTTTCTTTCTTACTTTTATACTCAATTCTGTACCACCTGGTATTTTTTTTTTCTTTCCTTCCTTTTTTCCTTCCTTCCTTCCTTCCTTCCTTCCTTCCTTCCTTCCTTATTCTTCATCGTTCTTCTTTACAGATTGCTCCACTTTTTCAGAAAACTTTTTCTCAGATCCAGTTTAACCGTACTTTTTCTCAACCCCTTTTTTTTATGAACAAGATTCATTTCCTTTTCTTTTCTTTTCCCAATCATAAGTTCAACTATTCACATTTCAACGCGATTGATCTTCCTTACGATAATAATATCTTTGTTTTATTTTTTTTTAAACAGATCAATTGTGAATCCATTTAACAAATATATATATATATATATATATATATATCTCATTTCATAATTGACATAATAATATCGTATATAACTTCATTCATTCGTAGTATTATGTTAGTTTTTCTTTGAAATTTTGTTATAATACCTTAAAAGATTGCTTTTCCAAATTTGATAGTTTCCAAAAGCTTTCTATATGTTGCGGTTCTCGAAGGTATTTCACAGGTATTTACAACAATGTCAGGTCGATGCATCTATATGTGCATATGAGTTTACTAACGGATGATGAAATTTTGCAATATACAGACATACCAACACACATGATAGGTCTACATAACATCTACGTAACCGTGACGGATAATTGGATTTTCTGTAATTATCGACGATTATACATTTTCCGCACTATGGCTGCTCGTTTCAACTTTTCCCAAAAGTCGTATCCTCATATTTGTTAAACTATTAATTCGAAAATACTTTCCAAAAAAAATATAAATATCAAAAAGTGTTCAGAAAAAAGTCATTAATAAGATCATTAATTTTTGAAGACAAAAAAATGTCGAATTATCTTTTATTATTAATAATAATTTTTTTCATTAATTTTATCTTACAATTAGATTATTTTTATTATTACTATGATGAATTCTATTTTATTTTATTGATTAGATTGATTATTCGAAACTTACCACTTATTCTTTACCACTTTACCACTAAAAGTTTTTAAATAATTTTTCTTTTTAACCTATCGGAAGTACTCGCGATAGATAGTTTACTTCCGAGTTAAATTTACACCTTTAATCGATATTCAGAATCGACATTTCTACGATACGACTGGAGTGATCTCTCTCTCTCTCCCTCTCTCTCTATATATATGTATATCTACTTCGAATATAAATTAATTAACGATACGTTAGACAAATTACCTATATGCCAAACTATTTCGAGATAATTAATGTTCATTTTGATATTCCATCAAAGTTTATATTTGAATTATGATTTAAAAAAATTAAAATCAAAATTATTAAAATTAAAAACATAAAATTCTATAAATTATATTTGATTATTAATTAACAATGATTTATGTAAATACACACATATGTAAAATACCTATGAGAATCGCATGCTGTGAGATCAATGTCGAGTTATTGATTCTTTAACAATCAATACGAGTCAATCCTTTGGAAACAAGGAATGGATGTGAAGGAATGAAACAACCATAAATAGAGAGAGAGAAGAGGGAGAGTGTGTAAACTTTGAATAAGGTAGAATCGAATAGGAAACTCGTCATAGTCGCTTTAGTTAATACAGACCTCGTCACACGCAGTCCATTTAGGTGTGATCCACGATAAACGGGATGAAACAGAAATAGTATGTGTGAATCTATGTGTTTATGTGTATGAGTGGGTTAGTACGATGGATCGAAGAGAATCGAATCGGTTACATACTGGCCAAGCCCTTCTCATTTCCGCTAAGAAAAAAGAAATTGACGTTTCAGACAGTTGTTGGTTACGGGAACATAACGAGTGCATTAATTTGATTTATACGTTGTCTGTCCGACCAGAGAAAGAAAAGAGATTGTTGCGAACAGTCGTTTATACTCTCGACACATCATATATATACAAACATACACACATATACACGCATACATATGTTGTACATGCATATATGCATGTGCATCAAACGTAGTGTATCATTCATATGTATAAATGTATCTTTCTCTGTTCCTCTCATTCTCTCTGTTCTTGTATATGTGTGTTACTGTGTATGAATACATGTATATGAATTTGTGTTGAGCGTACGTAGGTGGACGTTTAGAACAGGTGGTTATTAATCGACGAAAGGAAAACAAAGCGGTACTACCTTAACCATTACTCGTCGTGTCATCGCCACACTTTTATTTAATTAAGAACGATTTTAATCCTAGATGATAATTATCATTATCTACACAAAGTTTGCATTTTATTATCTATCATTTTCTCACTTAGAACTTTACGTCTTCCCCCCTTGCTTTTTTTTTTTTTTTTTTNNNATAATTTTGAAAACTTAATAGAAATACCCTATTTTAATGGTCTTCGCGTTATTTAATTTTTAATTAGAATTTCTTTTAAGATAACTAAGAAAATTTGTTGACATTTTTTTTTTTGTAAAGTATTGAAATTATATTCCTAAACGTTGAAAATTCAATGCATAAAATATCGATTCTATTGATAAAATTTAATCTAACACGTTATAATATTTTAAAACAACTACCACCACCATCACACGGATAATCCAATATTCTTTTAATCAATCTAACATCGTCGGGCATAATCATATCATCAAAGTAAACATTCCTGTTAATCAACTTTTTTTCAATCTCTCTCTCTCAATGGAAGCTTCATATTCTTTGAATTTTTCTTCTTAAAAAAAAAAAAAAAAATAATAATTTCATTATAAAATATCGATCAAAGAGAAAAATGTACATTTACTTACGTAGCATCTTCTTTCCCGTGCAATTAGCTCGTACCATGTTGAAGGATAAGATAACAGGAACGAGGATACCGAGTAACCGGGTAAACTGGTTAAGATTTTTTCTTAATATCGATGGCATATTCGATATGATCCAATTTTCTCTCACGTTTATAAAAAAAAAAAAAAGAACAAATATATACTTAAAAAAAGAAACAAAATAGAACCAAACGAACAGAACCGTAGGAAAATCAAAAATGTATGTGTGAATGTGTTAGCCGCAGCAGGTTTGACAAGTAAACAAAACAAAACAAAATAAACAGCACGTGGTTTTTTATCCAACCGAAAACGTCTCTGTCTCTGTCTCAGCACCAATATCAAAAACAACAACAACAACGATCCTACCGATTAAATCTCACACGAATTTACGATCCCTTTTCGAAGAGAGGACACATGGAAAGTGCTGCGAACCGGTCACGAGATCGAGAGAAAGACTAATAGTCTGCCAGGCTACCACTCCTGTCTTTATATTTATTGAGAGCTACACACCTCTGTGTGAATACATCGATTAATTGTCAATGTAGATGTGTGTTCGTGATCGGTGGGTAGGAGAGTTGAGAGGGAGGTGAACAGGGAGGATTACCCATTCTTTTTTTAAGGTTTTTTTTTTATTTTTATCTTTTATCTTTTTTATTTTTTACTCCTACCTTTATAAAACACCCTTTCTAAAATTGTTATTCTTTACGTTTAATTTTCTTATTTTATTTATTTTATTTACCCAAGTTTCAACTTGTATATTTGTGTTAATAATTTTGTTAAAAATTGTTTTTATATTGTTCCATTTTTTTTCTATTATTTTAAACAAATTTTATTACATTTACATTTGTAATATGGCAATGTTGTTTTATTTTTACGTTATTTCCTTCTTTTATAGTATATTTAATAATTATATTTGATCACTCATCTTTTTAATTTTATATAATACGTCAATGCCATGTACTCATATTTATGTAATTATTATTATTAGATATTTATCATAGTATTGTTTAAATCAGAAGATATTTATTTGTCTTTTTTTTTTTATTGTTTGTTTTTATCTATAGAATCGTAAGTATTTGCACGCAATTCTTTCGAATGAAAATTCAACAGGCTTGCCAACGTGAACACATTCTTTGATCCCTAACAGGTTGGATATGGACAAAGGCCTTTTTGTTTCTATCATGTCCGGATGAATCGTTGTATATATGTATTTATATATAGTACATACGTATATATATATATATTATATATTGCACATGTATTGAAACAGAACAGAGTTCAATCTGACCATAGGCCGTATGATTTGATTTGGAATTTCACGTGTCGTGTGTGTTTCTACGCTTTGATGCCTATTTCGATAACAAAACGATCCAATCGATCAATCTCGCATTAGTTGCTTCAGTGATTTTCTATCTGGCTACTGTGAAATCTTCTTAGATTTCTGATATATCGAAACATCTTCTTTCTTTTCTTCATTTTCTTTCTTATATATTTATTTTATTTCGATTTTATTTTGATTTTATTCTCGAGTAATCTTTTCCTTCCCCTTTATTCATCTTGGTTTTTTTCTTCTTTTTTTTTTATTTAATCCGACAGAAAATATAATTAAAACATTTTGCTAGTTAATAAATTCTTTTTTACAGTCGTGAAGTAAAATATTATCCTTCCCCTTTGTTTTGTTATAATCGATGACTTGTAAAGATATTTTTTTTTCTGTATGTAAATTCTTTTTTATTTTTATTATAGAGAATTATAATATAATAATGTAATAAAAAAAAAAAAAATTATTGATATTCGATATCGGAGATGAAACCAAGGAGAAATAAATCAAGATGAATAAATTAACAGGATCGAAAGGACGAACAAATGGTCTCATTTTGGTTTCGTTAAAAGTTCAACTTTTTTCTTACGAGAGGCTATTACAATAAATATAGATTTTATTGTCCTATATTTATAAGAATTTTTTTTTTCCTACGGTGGTTCGATTTTAACGGAAAGTGGACAATTAAAATAAACGAGTCTCGTATTACGACCATTATTTTTTTTATTTCTTTTTGTCGTTTCTTATGTTTCCTATTACTCGAAAACTCGTATCGTTGAAACTGGTTAATTTAATATAATTTTATGTAAATTTTTGGGACCATCTAATTTGTGAAGAAGAGAAAAAAAAAAGAAATAAAGAAATACCGTAGCTACTTAGATGAAAAAAGAGAATTCATGTTTTTCCTTTAGGTTGAACGGTCACTCGTTTAACTTGATTAAAACGACGACGATTCATTTTTCAAAGAGCAATTTAATCCCAACTTCTAACAAAGAATTTTCATCGGTCATTGTTCAGACTTGTGCACAAATTTTCCAGTCATTCTTTTGTAATTAATCAACGATCTGGAAATCGTTACAAACGTTATTGTATCACTCGATTAACGTTATTTAGTTCTAATTACTCTTTGAACTTACGATTCAACTTTAATAATTTTTCTATTCTATAAAATAGCAAATTTTAAATTTTTCCCTAACACCAAAAAAAAAAAAATAAATCTTTTTCAAATGATGATATATATATATTTTTTTTAAATTTAATAGATGATTAAAAAAAATTTGATAAAAATATAAATAATCTAATTAAATTAGAAATAATTGTAACATCGTGATTTTTTACTTAACAACATACGATTAAATATAACAATAATAATAATAATAATAATAATAATAATAATAATAATATTTAATTCGTTCGTTTTATTATTCTCAATTAAGTAATCGCTGTGATTTTCGTTGTGCATTAAGAAATTGATCGCACGAGACTGCTTGGCGTGTTCCTTTCGCAAATTTGACGTCCGTTAATTATACGAAAGGTCGACGATAGAAGGTCAGCGGGGTAAGACGAGAAATGAACAAGAAGAAGAAAAAAAAAAAAGAGGAAAAAGAAGAAGTGAAAAAAAAAAAAATCATTAACGAGGCACATTAATAACGGCACAATGATCTGATCGAGGTCAAAATAATTTTGTATGTGTGTACGAGTGTGTTCTCTTGTAATCATATTTTCTACATAATTATTATCGTTTTAATGTAATTATCATTTTTAATAATCATTTTCAAGGATCAATTAAAGTTTTTAGGATTTTTTTTTGTTGCACCTATATACTACCGGTGTTTAAAAAATAATTTACGAACTTTTTCTTTTTTTTTTTATTTCTGTAATGTTGTATCATTGTCCATTGACATTTATTATAAATAAATTACATTCTCATCAAATGAATGTCAATCAATTAAAAAAACGTTAAAATCGATGAAATTAAAAATTCGTTGAATAATTAAAAGATTATTATCGTATAATAATTCATTTTCAATATCAAAAATCATAACGTCGATTAAATTAAAAAGGTGTTTGCCTCTGGCTTTATTTCAAATTAAATTAATCAAATTTTATAGATTAATCGTGTTATTTAATAAAAATAAAACGGAATAATAAATAATAAATTTGAATAGAAACGTATCAATGTTATATATTCGCATAATAATGGAATAAAAATTTCATCAGTTTTTAAATCAAATTTTTATAAAGGAAGTCTTTATATATAACTTATGAAATATGCGAATTTAAATGTTTAAAGAGGAAGAAAGACAAAACGAAAATAAGACAAAATAAGAGAGAAGAGATACTGTAATAATTTAATTCATATTTTAACAGAGATTTAGTACGTTTGTTTTTTGACGAATTAATAATGATTCAGATTAAACGATAATCATGATGATAACATAATTATTTTTCGTATCTCCACTGTATATAAAATAAATCATCAAAAGAAACAGATTTGTTTGTTTTTTTTTTTTTTTTTAAAGTATCGTGACACGCATCTCATCAATATTTTTTTTCTCATTTAATTAATTATTTTGTTTCTGACGGCAGAATGAAACATCTATTAGAAATTCGTGTGTGGAAACGATCGAGCTGCAAAATCTATTTGATCCTATGACCATAAACAAAACAAAAAACAAAAAACCGGAAAAAAATCTGAAGTGTCTTTTCGACGGTAGACTCCTGAGGCAGGTCTAATGTTCTCGTCATTTGCATAATTACGGTCGCATTTGATAGAATCGATTAGGTTTCATGGGAATTAGGATACACACGTACACAAATACAAATATAATTAGGTATATATGATTTCCAAAAAAAAACGATATGTATACAAATTTCACTCGTTATGGTTCTTCGAAATGAGGAAGTTTAAGACAGAATGAAGTGAATTTGTCAATTATTGATTTAACTTAACATTTAACTTAGAACATTTTTTTTAAAATGAGAATTTTGATATTTACGAGACAACATCAGAAATATATTTTTATATAATATATATGAATATAAATTTGTCAAGATTTCATTAAATTTATTTTCTATTTTATTTCATTGATAGAAGTATCGTTTAGAAAAAAAATAAAAAAAAAACAAACAAATAATTTTCTTCTCGTATTTTTGATCATTTTTTTTTTTACGTTTGTAGAATTCTATTCTCGGTAAAGATAAGCAAAACGAACCTAGCCCATACGTTCGTTCCTGTACGTATTTCCCTCGTATAGAATACGTAAAAGAATGTGTATATACACATATGTTTTGAATGGTACAGAGCAAACGAAAGTTAACAATACCGTGCGTTGTTTTGATTCATGACTTGTCGTTTACCTTGAGTCTTGCAGTCTACGGTCGACCGTCTTCAGGGCTATACGTTTAAATGAAAACTTGCTTCCACCACTCGTGAACATTTCAAGTACCATCTTTCTCGACGTTTAACATATCTCATCCCATCATACACATACATATAAATATGTGTGCATATATACGAGTACTAAACAAATGTATATAGGAATATATATATGTAAATATGTAAATAACGAGGTATATGTTAAGAATGTATTATATTATATACATATGTGTAGTGACATTTCATCTATGATATAATCACAGATAACTTTGTTAAAAAAATGTTCAGTTTGACACGTTCATTGAACGTGGTCCATCCGTTGTAACTGTTTGCTGCGTTGGTCATTAAAACTTGGGTACTTTTGTAAATTGTTACTAACCTGTGTCGTTAGAGTTTCAAACTCACTCTCTCTCGTTGGATCCTAGATGAACTCTTCTTCCCTTTCCTCTAATGCATTTAAACTTACTCTCCACAGTATATTTAAGGCATACGTAAAACCTGTAATGGTCTTTTATTTTATTTTTTTTTTACGTTTTTATACGATACATATACTATTGTAGTTCTTGTCTCGTTTATTACATACCCCTACGTGTTTTTTTATCTAATTTAATTTTTTTTTTTAATTTTCTTTAACACGCAATGTGCAGTTATTCGTTATATCACATATTATTTCCTTGGATTATTAAATGGTATAATAATTTATCAAACGTATTATTAATACGTGAGATTTATATTCTATTCTTTATCGTACAATTACATAACTTCTTTATTATTTTAATTATAGGAAATGTAAATCTTTTTTTTTTTCTTTTTTTTTTTTTTTTCTTTCAGCA